CAATAGAGTATATTCAAATGACGTCACAACAGTTATATTGGTGTCCCAAAACAATGAAACGGCGGCCAAGTTGGTGTCGCAAGCTAATCCTGAGGGAGTTGAACACTTTTCTTATGTAAACACTTTCTTTTGTTCCAATAAATTTGTATGCCTGCTGGACACATGAGTGAAAACATTCTTTGCAACTCCTTTTTTCAGGTTTCAAGTGCAGCGACGACAAGTTTACATGCAATAATGGCGAATGTGTCAAGAAGAATCTGTTATGTGATAGCGACTTTGCGTGTAAAGATGGTTCAGATGAGGACAACTGTGAATGCCCTTCCAGCATGTTCAACTGTAAAGAGGGAGGATGCCTCCTGGCAACATCCGTGTGCGATGGAACAAATGACTGTTCCAATGAAGACGACGAAAAAAATTGCCGTAAGTTATTATTTGTTTTCATTTTAACCATAGTTAATAGACGGGCTTGGCAAGAACAGAAGGAAACAAAGATGACAAGATTTATGTTGGAAGGTCTACGACCGTGTACAACGTTTTTGTGCTCATACACTACATTTGGACTACGTAACCGAAACGTTCCTATTGGTAAGTTTCTCAGTCAGAAGTGAACAACTATATTTTGTTATGCGCACGTCAAAACCAAATAAGTCTTGAACAATAACATACAACAAAGAACTTTGTCGGGCGTTATTACCAATCTGCTCTATTAACTCTGTTTGTAATCAGCAAAGCTTGGCATGTTGGGTTCAATTTCGTTCTTTAATATCACTGAGAAAGCTAGAAGCCTCTGTACTGGAAGAGACAAAAAAATACAGCGAGCTCCAATAGCCAACGTGAGTCGCGCAATGTTGAAAATCTATACGAAGAACGAGTGTGATAATATGGACGTTTCTCTTTACATGCTCGCTCTATACAAAGGTTTGAATGTCCAATTTTTTTCTCGAACTCCGCGTGTGCTGATTAATTTTTGTTGCCACATATGAGCTACGTGTGAGTTATATGCCAGTGAAGTTTTACCTTGGTTGATTTTAAGTACACCGCGTACATAATTAACTTTTCAGGGAATCGGTGCAGCTCTAGATATCAGTGTGTTGATGGGTCTTGCATTTCGTGGTCAAAAACATGTACTCAGACAGCTTTCTGCAGGGACGGAACTAATACGCCTTCTGTATGTGGTGAGTTACGTTCGTAGACTTTTTAATTTAGTAGAGTCGAGTGGGATCTCCGTTAGATATACGGTTTTCGGCTTCACCCCTTAAAATCGCGAATTTTCCCTGTAGCTTGAAACGGGAGAAATGGCGTGCAGTTCGTGGTTCGTTTCATAAAAGTCAGCACAACTGTTTCGTTTCTTATCTTCGACATTTCTTCTTGTTCAGTTTTGTTTTCTTGTGATTTCATTTTTCGTGTCTCTATTTTTTCGTTTTCCCCTCACTTCTTTTCATTTCTCAGTTCTCCTATCTGTTTCTTAGTTGTTGTCGCTTTTAGCTTTAATCCCTATAAACATCTCGCGTTTCATCTTCTTTGGTTGTGCTCATATAATTTTCGTTAATTTGTTGGTTTCCCAGGCTCTGGCAAATGCCATCTAGATGATTTAGCATGTACCTCTAAAAATACAAGCGTGCAAAAAAGATGTAGATCTTTCAGAGGTATGGTTAAAGCAAAACTTACTCGCTGACTAAGCTGTGTATTCAGTTCAGCATGACATTTACTCTTTTAGAAACAAGAACATGTATTCAATGGGAATCTTTTGTAACTACCTGTTTGTTTATAAACGTAAATTTCATTATTGACAAACAAGGAAACGAAGGGCTTGCGTCTTGAAAGTTTCGTTTCAGGAATCTTTTAAACGTTTGAACGTTCCAGCATCAATTTCTTTGTTCGTTATCTTATTATATATTTTTCCACTTATCGTGGTTTCAAAAGGTCATTGTAATTTCGAAAGTGGACTTTGTGGACTGAAAGCTGATAAGAATGCCACGTTCCACTGGACTGTGGGCTCAGGCCAGACGCCAACGGAAAGTACTGGACCGAGTTACGATCACACGTCGCTTAATAAGGATGGTAAGAGAAGTCAGAAGTGAATAAAACTGTAATTAGGGAAGTTAGTAGCGGTAAGTTCAGTAACCATCAATTTAAACCAAGGCAAATATGAGTCTATCATTATACATACTGACTGAATTTAAAAAAGTAATCAGACCTTGGACATAAAACATGAAACTGGTAGCACGCGTGGGAACCAAAATGATTCGCTAAGCAGACAAGCATTCCTCTGATTGATGAGCTTTATGTACTTGGATCAAATCACCAATCAGTTCAAAATAAAGACGAAATTCTGGGTACAAACTGAGACTGTGACAACACAGCGGCAATGCCGCGTTATAAGTAGCAGGGGTAGGCGAGAAACGTTCTGCCTTTAATTTCCTGCTAATAAGTAACACTTTTATAACTACTATACATTTCTTTTTCAGGCTCTTACATTTTCATTGAAGCTTCTAAAAGAAACCCAGGAGAAAAGGCGAGGTTGTTAAGTGGCTGGATAGAAGCCAATGAAACAGTTTGTGTTCAGTTTTGGTATCACATGCACGGCTCAGATATCGGAAATCTAAACATTTATGTCAAAACTAACCAATCAGAAACTCCCGTCTGGAGGCTGTCAGGAGATCAAGGAAACCGCTGGAGATTTGGACAGACTGCCCTGAATAGTCCAAGTTTATATAAAGTAAGTTTTCATATTTTGTTTAAGACTCAATGAAATCCAAAAACAGAGAGCTTAAATCGGGACCATGTATTAAGCACTTTCATCTTTTATCCTTCTTACTTTTCATTATTTGATTATGAGGAGGTTATAAATAAAGGAAAGTTTCTATTGCGTTTTAGAACTAACATACTTTCGTATTTTTTTGTTAGTTTGTACTAGAAGGAACAGTTGGTGATGGAAGTAAAGGTGATGTTGCAGTTGATGATTTGACGATATTGGACGGAATTTGTGAAACGATTATAAAACAAAGTAAGCAAGAACGTTGGTATTGGGTTTACGAGGCTTTCGAAGGCTTCCTGCCATTGCAAGGCAACTTGTTACGTGCTGTGCAACTGAGCGTTGATTCAGTAAAATCTTCCTAAATCAGAGAGCATTCCCTGCCATGATCCTCGAAACAATAACAACAACAACCTGAAAGCTCGATCTACCAAGCCTGAAATCCATGATTGATAAAATGAGGACTTACACAGCTTTTAGAGTGGTGCAGTTATGTTTATAAACAACAGGGTCTTAAAGGCAGAGGATACCCTAAAAACAGAGGGTTTTTGGGTGCATAAGAATCGTGCTCCCCACTGATTTAGGAACTTTCCCCGTACCCGTGGAACCTATCAACAGACAGCTTATTTAACATTCTTCCTGTTCTCTCTTGTAAACGTCCTAGAAAACTATAAAACACTTCTCGTGGATCAGGGTTAAATACCCTAGTATTTGTTTCACACATTCGGTTAGTTGGACAGCAGCGCGAAGAACGGTGAGAGGAAAATAGACTGCTTTTCTCTCGCTGTATTTCGCACTGCTCCCTTATCAAATCAGACCCTCAAACAGGCTATTTTACTAGACATTTGTAAATTACTGAATTAGATCGCTAAGAAACAATCTTTTCTTTCTTTATCATCAGCAAGGCCAGACTGTTATTTTGAAGAAAATATGTGCGACTGGAAAGCAGACGAGGAATGGGTCCTTCGTTCTTATCAGGCGGGATTAGGGAAACGGGGTAAGATGTGTTATAGATTGTGTCTGTGAGGTAGTATGGCCTTGATACCCAGTTGATGATATACCGGGTGATAGAGGGCCAGTTCACATCACTGAAAATGATTCTTTCCTTTCTACTTCCGTTACTCATCAGGAGATTTAAATATAAACAAGAAATTATCTGAAAGGATTGTTAAAGATCTCTGAGTATTATTCGATACAGGCGAGGTTGGGAAACAAACCAATTATGTATTTCTTTTCGAATTTCTTCAGTCATTTTCTTCTTTGTTGTTGTATATATAACTGTATAGCTCTATTGGAAAATAATACTTTTTCAAGTAATTGACAAACACGAGAGGCAGCGTTTTACCCCATTATTAAATCAAAGTGCTCCATGAGCAAACCCGTCGATTTCCCAGTGGATGATGATTGATATGTACGGCTTTTCGTGCATACTACATGAAGTACAAGAACAGTCAAACCTTCACTACATGAGCTGCATTTCTCCAATGGAGTACTCATTCTTGATTGAGCCACTCTACCTCGTAAACTTCTCATCGCTTTGCCCAACATATTTTTCTTCCCGCCTGAGGACGAAAGCGTAAGCTGCGACTCAGCCCCGTTAGATCGAAAGCAAATAGGTTGCGAATAAGATCGAAGCGACTCTGCTCGCAGGGTAGCTGCAAAGGATCTTCAGAGAAATCGAGTTTTTTTTTTATTTTGAATTACAAACGCACAACATCTAAACCATCGGATGCAATTTGAGGTCGGTTGTACGAAACAGCAAGGTCGCGTAACGTCAAAAACCGTGTTCTTATCGGTTCCAAGCTTGAAATAAGTACATGTAGCTACTTGTGGATGTCCTTCACCTAAAAAAAGGGTTGAACAAGAAAAGACCAGTGACTTAAAACAACAAACGGAAAAAAAAACCGTCGAACTCCAGAATCTAACTCAGGTCCACTAGATTGGAACATGGGTGCTAACCATAGTAACACGTAAGAAACCTTGCTTAAAGGGAAAAACATACAAAGTACTTCAGCCTTATCTCAAATTGACTAACAAATATGCGAAGTAGCTAACACCACCCCCTGCTTCGTCGAGTTTTTGCTCTCGGTCCAATTTACGCGCGGCCAGAATGCGGAAAAGCTCTTCATATGGGAACGCTTGTTACGCAGGCTATAGTAACATGTAAGAAACCCTTGCTTCAAGGGGGGAAAGATACAGAGTACTTTACCCTTATCTCAAATTAGCTAGCAAATACGCGAATTAGCTTACAAATACGCCGCACATAGTCTATTAAACTGCAAACTTCTCGGATACTTTCAGTGTGGCTAGTACACAGGGAACAGAGGAGTCCTATTTGATCTTTTTCCCAGTTAAATTCGGCGTAATATTGTAGCGCGAATCGATTTTTTTGTTGATTCAAATCGCCTCAAAATCAAACTGTACACATGTGATCGTGTTGCGATGATTAAATCTACTATAAATAGACATACAAAGCTTTTCGCGAGAGCTGTTTTGTGACTGCGATATGATAGCTCATCAGCCTATTCAAGTGTCAAAGTGTATCAGCTTGAAAAAGCCCAAAACTTTGTTTCTGTGGGGAAATGTTTAATGCTCGGATTGCATTTTAGTTCGTGAAGTTAAGTGTCTAGTTCTCCTCGCTCTCGCTATGCGGGGTTCCTCTTCCAATGCGACTCATGTGAGTTTGTCCTCAAGACTGTGTACGATTTCATCTCAGTGGATTCCATGCCCGCCGTTGAAACTTATAACCTGGCGTAATCATGAGCCTTTTAGAGGCTCGCAAGACTGCGGTGTTCCTTCTTAGAGACTTTTTCGACAAATGCAGTGGCCTCAGCGATACTGTTCGCTTTGATTTCCGAAATTTAATTTCAGGAGCTCAACCCTCCAGTAGTAGTACAGTCAATATGTAGAGAGGATTGCCTCTTGTCAATCGTTGCTAAATTTCAAACTTCGGAGCGGAAATTTACAATAGCAGCTTCCAGCAACATCAAAAACGTTCCCAATGCGTATTACAAAAGCCAATTAGAGTTATCCTTATCTTAATTTGAGATTAGAATTGTAATAGAAATGTTAAATGAACTATACCCAGTAAGCAAACAAAACAAATTTACATTTTTAGTGCAACAATCGCAGCTAGACCTAGTAAAAACGATACACGTGCCTGCAATATTGACTAATACAGTGATTTCAGGAGCTTTATCTACTGGTCAGCGGAATTACTCCAAAAAGCTTACAGATGATGGAAGGACAACATTTGCATATCATTTGCATAATCTGCACCACCACTAAAACCCTATAGCAGGGGTTTCAATAACATTAGTTACAAGCGGCCACTGAAGGTGTAATAGGCGGCTGTG